GAGATCAGGAACCAAACCAAAACTGTCAGCAGCACCAACCACAGTGACTTAAAATTTAAGCTTGTTTCAATGCTGATGGGGAAAGAGAGAAGCCTTCCAAAATTACTGATAGTGTGATGTTTGACTACATGGAGAAAACAGACTCTTCAAAGATGGAGGGGGGGGGAAGACGACACCTGAAGAGCCTTTCAGAAGCTGAAAATGTCTCCACCGTTCAGACAAAACTGAGACATTGAAGGTTTGACAAGGTCTTTCAGATAGAGGATGACTGAATGGATTTCTAGGTCCTTCCATCATCTTAAGGTGCTCCCTTAAGTTTAGTTAAACATCCATCAGAGGATTTTCATGTTCTATCATGATTCAATATATTGAGTGGATGATATTTCCTTCATGTAATGAGGTTTTGCATTTTCACTATTTTCCTTACAATTTTAGGAATGTGAAGTGCATACTAAGTGCACAGTAACTGTTTGAAAACACTAGGATCTATTTGATAAAGCTAACGGGCCACAGCAGCAGCTAGAAAGTATTACGTTCTTATGAAACTTTCTTCTTTTACCTTGATTCTAAAAAGCCACAGGTTAGAGTGACTAATTATCAAGCTGGATTCCTTTCTAACAAGTGAATTTAAGAAGAGGAAAATGAACTAAAGGTGGTATGTCTGAAGGAGAGTAAAGATGCCCAGCTCTGACAAAGCAGCAAAGGAAGCATTTTAAATATAAAGCTGCCTTTGGATTGAGGAAATAAATCACCTACAGAGTCAACAGAAGAAACCTAGCATCCAAGTGAAAGAAACAAGAATGCAGGAGAACTGAAGTACAACTCTGATGTATGTTTCAGTGCCTAGTCACAATGAATATGAATTATTTTGCACTGATGCAAATCTGCACTATTATTGGCTCCAGCTTAGCATAACAGGAATGGTAGTCATGACTTTTCCTATGGCTCCTGAAACTCCATCACCCCTTATCCTGATCAGGGGAAACAGACAGTTAACAGCCTACTGACAGAATTAAAGCGTAAGGAAAATATTTGTTCTTGAATTCTTATGTTGCTTAAAAATATAAAGTAACAGCAAAAAAGGTTGTTTAAATAACGCAATATGACAAAATCCAATGTTTGAAACAAAAGTAATGGCCTCAAATTGTGAGAAAAGCATCTGAAATGCATTAAAGAGCCTTCAGCAGCAGCTTTCCATTTCTGCCTCTCAAAATTAGATATATACCAAGAGACACTAACAAATACCTGTATTTCTAATGACATAGTCCAAGATAACCAATCTTTCAAACTGTGACTGAAATTCTTTCCTTGTGTTCTCAGGTAAAGGATCAGTTTCAAACTTCCTGAGCCAATAGTCAGCTTCCTTATATCCTTCAACAAACAGCTGGAAGGAGCCAACCTGGAACATTAAGAAACTGCATTCAGAAAACGCACTTGGGTAGGTCACATAACTAATCTTAACATTAACAGAAAAACTGATTATCTGCTTTCAAAGTTCAGAACATAGGAAGTATGACACTTAAAAAAAAAAAAGATTACCAAGTGGTTTCTCTTTCATTCCTAAATTCTTAAAAAATAAAGGCTCAAATCATGAGGGTTTTTCCTGGGGTTTTTGGTGGCGGCTTTTTTTTTTTTGGAGTATTTGTTTAAGCACTTACTGAGTTTACCAGGAATAAGATGTAGACAGACAGCTCAACATAAATGAACACTCAGTAATACGAGCAATATTTGAAACAAAAAGAACAAAATAACCTCTATTCTGTTTTTCATTGGAAACGCTTGGTTCAATAGTTCATAGGAAACTCCAAAAATTACAGGAGAAAAGTCTTCCTCTCTGAAAAACTCGTATGTTTCATTGATGAGAACAGCAGCATTAACCATTTTTTCAAGACAGACACTTTTTGCAAAAAAAAAAAAAAAGTCCGAAATACATTTCCCAAAAGAGTCCAAGGAAGAAAAGGAGAGATAGCATAGGCTCCATATGTGTGGGCAACAAAAAAGGTGCTCAAGGTTAAAATTCAAAAGAGGACTTATATCCAAGAAGTAAAATGCAGATAGATGCACATGTGCAGAGACATGGATAAACACATTGCATGATACAAGCTTGCATAACACACGTCACATGGATCAAAATCACTGGGAACTGACACAAGTGGATTACCCAAGCTGTACATAACCTGTACTTTAAAAGTTTAGGAGTAGAACACTGTGGTAATATTTTGGGGTTATAAGGCGGCTCATTTGGTGTGGAAGATGTGAGGTTTTAGTCAGTGGAGTACTGCACACTAGATGAAAGGAAGGTAGGATGAACACAACAGGATACCTAAAAGAATAAACAATAGAAGGGGAAAAAAAAGATTTAGGAAAAATGAAAGAACTAGATAAACTGCAGGGGAGAAACTATTAGACAATATAAAAACATGACACTGAGGGGTACTGAACAGTGAGCAAAAGAAAAAAAAACAGCGAGGGATGTACAACATTTTAACATGTTATTCCTTCAGCAGAAAGCTAGACTGCAACTGAATCAAAAAGTGGCAAGACTAACAGTTCAAATGAAGGAATGGTGTAACAGAGTGGACAGATTCTGCGTAGAAATAGTTGTATTTATCAAACTTCAGTCATTCAGAGATAGTTTTCAACAAGCAACAAGATTTTTTCTTCTGCTGTTGAAGTTACCTATAAATATTCTTTCTTTTTTCTTTTAATTCAAAGTTTGTGTAAGAATCAGGAAATGCACAAACTACTTCTTTTTCATCTTACCTTAGGAGGTAGTCCAATTCGATTAAATTTTTTAGCAACTTTTGGCACTTTCTCTAAAGCGTATTTCTTTCCTCTTGACTTTGCACGATCTATTGCACTGTAATTAAAGGTCTCACTGACAAGCCAGACAACCTTAAAATATGAAAGTTAAAAACAAAACTCAGAATTCTTTATTATTTCAATTACAAATTTACAGTATATTTTATGCTCAGTTGTCAAAAAAAAAGCAAAAAGGAAGCATTAGGTATTCCCAACATATTTTATATGAAAAGGTGAATATTTGCTATTTTACATATCTCAAACAAAAATGGGAATCTTCACATGCCGCTTTTTGCATCTCACCAAAACACGAGGCAAAAGTGCCAGAAAACGCTAGAAACCGAAGTGGTTCCAAAGAAGAGGTTCAATTCAGATCTCAAACTTATCCTTTAAAACAAAAACCACACTCGCTATGTCTACACCAAACCACTGTGCCTTTGGACTTGCAATAGTTTATATACGACATGGGGATAATACATGAGATATAAGGATGTCCCCACAGCCACAGTCCAGAGACAGACAAATCTGTCACTATTTTTTTTTTTTTTTTTGCATTCACTAATTTATGTATTTTCACTTTTACCTTAGTTTTAGGTACAACTCCTAGCCCCAGCTTGTCATCCACAAGATAGGCACCAGCTTCAGAGAGGTATCCCTGATTTGGAACGAGGCAGCCTCTGCCAAAGCAGCAAGGACAGCAAACTTTGTGAAAATATTTGGTCCATTTTGGATTTAGATGTCCATAAGGCTCTTCAGATTTTGGTTTGAACACTCCAATAATTTTCTAGGATAAACAATATAAAATTAAATTATTGATACTTTGAGTTGCAAAAGACTAAAATAATTTTGAAAATTAGTTATTTGAAAGTATTGGTTAGATACTCTACATTGCATTTTACAGTTGCTCTTTTTAGATGATGAAAAAATTAAGAAAATGGTGTTCCAAATAAATTTGTCCTCAAATGCTTGTCCAGAAGTAGTACAAATTCAAAATAGGCTCCTCATGAGAGGAAAAAAATCAAAACCAGTTTACATTTACTAGTTTTTCAAAATCAGAGGACTGTGGTTTAGAATATATTTTTTTTTGTATTCTAAGTTTTTTAAAAAGGAGGTTTTAAAAGTAGTTTTAAAAGTCATTTTCAGCCCAACAATTAACTCATTGACAAGATATTTCAGAGACATAACAGGAAACTGACAAACATACAGAAGGCTAATAGTCAAATGTTACCTTTCCTCTTTTGTATCTATTTTATTTATTGCTTTAAGTTTGAATGGATCAAAATGTTCTGCACTTTGCAACGCCAAAGAGTGGTGTCCTTTACCACTGCTGTAGATTCGTCAGCTCAAAGCTGACAATGGTTCACACTGTCAGCCACCATTTACACTGGAGACATACAGTAAAGCTTAAAATTACTCAGAGTACTGTGTCCAGTTTTGGACACTATGCTTCAAGAAATCTGTTAACAAACTGCAGAAAGTTAAAAAAAACAATGAGAAGAAGCATAAAAAATACATAAATAATGAAAGACAGTTCAACAGGGATTGTTTATTCTAAGAGAAAACAGAGCACAATGAACTATATAATAGAATCATTACAGTTGGAAAGGATCTCTAAGATCATTAAGTCCAACCATCAACCCAACACCACCATGCCCACTAAACAATGTCCCGAAGTGTCACATCTATACCTTTTTTTTGAACACCTCCAGAGGCGGCAACTCCACCACCTCCCCGGGCAGCCTGTTCCAATGTTCGGCCACTCTTTCAGTAAAGAAATGTTTCCTAATGTCCAATCTAAACCTCCCCTGGAGCAACTTGAGGCCGTTTCCCCTTATTCTATCACTTGTTACTTGGGAGAAGGGACCAACCCCCAGCTCACTACAACCTCCTTTCAGGTTGCTATAGAGAAAAAAACGAATGACATATTTACCGTTATCAAGCCAAGAAATGCTAGGCTTAATTCCCAGCAGATAAGTTGCAAAGAAAAAACCCTTTTGAACCTTAAGAACAGCTCAAGACTGGAACAGATTGCCAGGTTGTGGAGTCTCCAAAACAGGATGCCACTAACAACAGGTTAGTTTGACATTCATCAGGAATCTTGTTAAAAAGATCCTGCTCCACAACACAGGCGTTAAGTAGATGATTTCTCAAGGTGCCTCCTACATGTGATTCTGTATTTGTGAACCTCAAACCACAAGATTATTACCACACTAAATACATAACCTTCTAATTGTCTGTGATAAACTTTAGCCTAGTGCATAAAGTCCATGTAATGACTCTTCTATAGCTCAAGCAAAATGCTGTAGAAATGCTGTATCTTCATTCCTTCTCACAGGAACATGGTATACAAATCAAATTCTTATCTAATAAATATTTAAGACCAACTGTTTAAAAAGCATTTTCACATATTAGTACTTCCCTGAATCCTTATGAAAACAAACAAACAAACAAAGTATCTCAATAAGCTAAACACTGCCTGTTGTTGCTCCAACACTCAAAGCTGATTTACACTCTTAAATCATTAACAAGTTTGCTAGCAGTAAGAAACTAGCATTCTGCTTCAGTGACTGCTGATTCAACTAGATTAGGGAGAGGACCTGACTAGCTGTTCTACCTTCTAGAGAATTTTCACTTACTTTGTCCAAGACAATCTAACTAGGCCAAGCTTGTTCAAGAAAATGTTGCTTTGTCCAAGACAAACTACAGAGAACGTACTTCATTTGGTTTGTAAACAGATTACACAAGACAGCAGGCACTAGTAGCATCACCTGTCTTGTCCATCTATTTTGATCCATTCCCATCAACTACCAGGAGAAGTTAGTGATGAAATATCATCATCTGCATTCATCATATAAGATTCCCATCCACAGGGGAAGGAAACAAATTGACAAAAATTCTCGTTTTCTGTATGCTGTTATCTGCAATTCTAAGGTTACATTCAAAATCATGAGTAAGCTCTATGCAACTGCCCACAATTCAATTTAGACCTACACAAAAGGTTATGCTTACAATAAATGTTCTGTGCACCATGAAAGGCCAGGATGTTCTCTGTTTTTTGGTTTGTTTTTTTTTTTTTTTTAAATCACAACACTTTGGAAACTGAATTTACTCGGTATACTAGTTTAGTCAAAATTCTAATGTCAGGTTTAGAATTGTTAAAGACTTAGCTATTTTTTTCCTATTGAACCACAGGTATGTACCTGCTCAAAACAAAGGCAGCAGCTTTTCATTTCCCAGAAATTTGGTGTGTATTTGGTAGTGTATGCCAAGCCATTAATTATATCTTTCCTGAATTGCTCCTTGGATAGTATTTCCTACAAACCAGCCATTTTAAGAAGGAGCTTAACTCATTCCATTACTTGCCTGGACCGTACTGTGCTATACTATCAAATTAGATACAGTTTTTAAGTTTTCACTGAAGTTAGAACCTTGCTAAATTTTGCAGAGCCACTGCTGTTGAGGACCAGAGTAGAATCAGAAAGTTCAATATGTAGACAACCTAGCAAGGCCAGTCTTAATTTTGCAAGTCAGAATTAATTTCTAGACTGACTCCATTGGCATCACCAATCAGCCAATAGCTAAACTGTCAAAAATATGTTGCAGAACAGTTTGTAACAGACACAACGTCTTTTATTTCTTATACAATGAACAACAAATGCAGAAATATTCAACACTTCAGCAACAGCGCTGCTGAAGTACTGAACTGCTTCCTATTAGTATACAACTATGCCAAAAATGCAAAAAGTTAATAATTTTGATTAGGCAATTTTAGTATTATCTGACAGACCCAAATCAGTGAATAAGATGACCTAATGGAAACAGGTTATTTCACCTGTAACTTGGTATTAGTGTGGGCAAAACACTTCAGAAGCTGACCAGTAAGAAGGCTTAGCATGTCTTTAATAAGCTTTTCCCCAGCACAAGGAAGAGATTACTCAAGAAGAATAGGAGAAAGCAAGTCACAAAACTGGTTTGAAGTAGAATGATGCAATACTCTCTCAAACAGGATGTGAAATCCATTCTAAAAATGGGAGTTGCACTATTGACAAAAGAAGTTTTATCAGACATTTAATATGGACAACAAATTTAGATAAGCTCTAAATTTAGCAGTAAGGATAAAAGCAAAATTGAATGTCAGCTAGGAACTCAGTATCATTATTCTCACAGTCCCATGTTGGCGAATACTTTCATACTTTGCCATGACATTTTTCTGGTCCACGTAAAAAAAAATTGGTGGTTTTTCAGTCTTCATTTCTGCTAAGGACTTGCATTCAAACCAATAACCTGCATGAAGGCAGAGGGCCAGTCACTACTAGGAACAAAAGCAACACTTCACTGCAAAACAGAAATAAAAACAACAAGCAAATCACCACGTAAGAAACAAGGAAATAAGGTGCTCCATTTGTAACCATAGCATAAAATACTATGGTTACAAAAACGATGTGTAAGTACTCTCTCACTAGCCCCAGGTCACAGTGAGTGAGTCTCTCAGGCATTTTCTAGTCACCAAAAAACTTCAAAATCAGTCTGGAGAGCCTTCAGACAAAGCAGATTTGAACATACGGAAATCCAGATCTTTCTCTAGTAATTCCTCTGCTAACTAACTTTCTAAGAATAAAAGATCTCAATTGCACAGTATTAAGAAAAATGAAAAAACACCCACTTAACCACTTTTAAAACATTTTTAGCATAACACTGTAGAATACTCTTCAGAAACATCATACATTGAGTTTTTCAAAAAGTATTCATTTAAACCAGTTCTTGGTTCCTTACTCAGATTTTTTCCTATTGTATATTAAATAAGATAGAACCAGATTGAAGGGGGTCATTACTAACACTTGTTCCTGAACACGGGAGTATGCGCAATGTGCAGTTCTTAGAAGATTTTTAAGGGTACTTCTGCCATTTTCCACCTTAGAAATAAATTAATAAATTCCTATATTTATTTGTATTAAGTCAGGTAACTATTCTAAAACTCACTCATTCAATGAAATGTAAATCACCAGAAAAGCGGCATTAAAATAAACTAAACAGCTATGAAAATTAATTGGCAAGACAGGAATATATTCTGTAATTACTAATAATACGAATAAAAGCTAAACAAAATCCACTAATACTTCCTACGAACGGTAAATAACCATTTTGGGGATGCAGGGAAGAAAAACCTCGAATATGTTCTGAAAACCTTAGGCACTTAAAGTATTACTACTTTCTGTCCAACACAACCAGGATCTTCAGGATTAATGAACACCTACATCTACCTAAGACCAGAAGACTGCTGCTTGAGCTTAAAATAAAATGAGTTACAACAAATTAACAAAGGTGTGGGGGCTGGGAGCCTTCTTTTTTGGAACAAGTCAGTAAGCAGACAAAGTATTTCTGATTTAAAGAAAACAATGTGAATGTATGTCTGAAACATCATTTTCTCTTACTAAATAGTGCTAACCAAATGTAACTTTCCAAGCAAGATATTCAGGAAACTGTTACTTCTCTGTCTCAAAGTAACCTTAAGACACGTCTTTAATGATCGCTATTCACGGTACCATTTACCACTAAGGGAGGCAAAACCAAATCTTCAAGATTCAGCAGACAAGTACAAGTAAAACGGTAGATTTGTTTCTATCAGTCTTCTTGCCCATCTACCAATCATACAGGAGGAAGGAAACACGCCCTAAATAAAAGACTACCTAAAAAGAAAAGTAGTAAAAATATAGCAGGTTTGGCTAAAGAAACCTGAACAGTACCCAAATCAGAAGTCCAGTTGTGTCAAAAATCAATTCAAACATACAAAGAACAAAATTAAGATTCTGCACAAAGGAATTCCTGAATTGTTTTCAGACGTTAAAGAGGCCCTTTTATTTTCTCCATATTTCTTTGATGCAGATCATCTAAAACATGGTAAAACTGCAACAGAGAAATAAGTTATTTTGGTTTAGCTTATGCTGCAAGACATAATTAGAAATCTAAGTATTACATGCATTGATTTTTCCAACATAGATTTTGGCATACCATAAATTATTAAACAACTTAAATTAATTTCCATTTTAACAGAAACCTAGAATTTCCATTTTAAACTTGTTGCTGATAGTATCCCTGACTTTGCAGTAACATGCTCACCCCTTTTGGATCCTTGGCAAAGTAACTCCCACTGGATCCTTGAGAGATTCTTTCTGGAAAAACTCCACATTCTATAGCTTGTTCTGCTCTCAGAATAATTTCTGCAAATTCTGGATCATCTAAAAATATATTCATATCAGCAGTATGTCCTGTATGCCCTGAAAAATAAGAAAACAAGCAATCTTAAGTGTAATTCGTATTATGAATTAACAACAGAAGTAAACACACTGAAAAGCTAACAGCCTTCCCTGCTAACACCATTCAACAGTAGGCTGGAACATCAGGTCCATTAAATAAGTGCAAGTTTTCCCACTGATTTACCCACATCTAATCAAGCTTTTGTCTAAAGTAAATCAGCCAAATCTGGAACAACTAATTGAAGACTACCAGTGCAAAGTGTTTATACTTTTCAAGAGGTTTTTTAAAATTTTTATTTACATAAGGAAGCCTGTAAGAAAAAAAACCCTAAAGCGCTAAAGATTTTACATACCGTTTTTATTAAGATTTTTGTGTCCTTTTGTAGAAAAACCTGCCTGAAAGTAAACTGTCCATCACCCACTAACTAACAGAATGGTACCATACCATTCATCTAACAGCTTGGCTAATGTGTTCATTATCCACTAAGACGCAGCGCCGTTATTCACAATACAATCTGTTACACATAGCACTGACAAGTGGCACCAATACCCCAGTGAAGCACTGCACACCGTCACCATTCCGACATTAAACCACTATCGCCTACTTCTTCACACACCTACCAGAAGATCAGCTCTATGCAGGCATTTATGCAAACTCTGTGGCTCTGCAAACATTTAGAAACATAACTAGAAAAGAACTTGCTGGGATTTAATACTTCTATTGCCCTTTAAACTTTGTCAAATGATTTCTTTGCAATTTTTGAACCTTACTTTTAAGCCTAGGATTATTCCTTCCTTACTGAGTGCATTTTAATGGGTCTGTGCGTTAGGGATCACTTCTGCATTAACAAACAGCTACATTACTCTAAATTAAATATTCACAGATCAAGTTGCCTTGTTCCCATTTCAGCACTTGAAGAAATCTAAGATAAAATAAAACACATATATTCTTCTGGAATGACAACCGACACAGAATCCACTCAGAAAAGATACTCCTAAACAGTTTGTGGATAGTCAAAAAAAAAAAAAAAAAAATCACTCTATGTTTTGGAACAACTTTTTGTAGCACAGGACATTCTTTGAAGTTTTCTAGAACATTGCCAGTTGCTTGCATGAACTACTCACAAATAATAACATGGCTTCCAAACAAAAACAACTAAAAAGCATAAAACATAGGAAAACCTTAGTGTAGTTGCAACAGGAAGAGAAGCCTTAAAACTAATAACTGCTTATTCTTAAGGATCAACCACTACAGCCCACTGGATCAGAATCTGTTAGACTACTTGGCCAATACTTCTGCGATAAACTGCAGTTTAATTTTAAGACTTTTACCAAGACTGCCAGGGCAATCAATAAGTTACATTTCATAGTCATCTACAGAGAGAAAGGGAAAGGGTTCCAAGATTTCTGTGTCACAAAGTACTTAAGCAAGTTAGGGAAGTAAACAAAAAAACTCACAATACACTTACTTATATGGAAAAATTCACTTTGAATCAGTGGTTCTTATTCCATATTCAAGCCTCACCTATCTCTACACGAGAAACATCACATCACACAGCTGAGCTGCAACTACGACACATTCTCATCAGTGAAAGCAAAATCAGGGTTGTGCATTATACTGTCACCAAACAAAATGCAACACCCATATTAAGTTGCTCTGTACATTAATCTTCCAGATGAAGAGGACCTACAGGTGAACTTTCTATCACTGGGACTGAGGTTTTCTATGCAGGAGACAGCTTTCTCAGAGGTCAGTTTTTAATTTCTGTGCATTCATTCCAGACTGTAAACCATAAGAAGTCTCACTGCCTTGAGGAAATTCTTCAACCATGTCTTTTCTAACATGAAAGATAACTGAAGGAAAAAAAAAAAGATTAAATCAAAAATAACATTAGAAACAAACAAATCACATTATGCTGCATGCTCAAGGAAGAAGAGAAAAATAATTTTTGAAACTTATGATTTGTTCGGTATCGCTGCTGTGCTACTAGAAAGCCTTCTGTTACCACAGCGATGTGGCTGTATAAAAACATAACAGGCTGAAAACAAGGAAATTGGTAGTTTCAATAAGTTTCTTTCCAAATAAAAATAAGCCATTTTAATTGAAGCTAGTCTTTGCTGGAACGTGGCAGGGTTTTCCGAGTTGGTTTCTTCTTCAAAAATTATTCTAATCAAGTTTTCCATTGTGAAAGGTCACAACTTACTCCCAGTACAGTCTCTAAACTTATAACTAATCAAGGTTTTTCTTGCAACCACTCTTGAAAACTACTCTTCTCATTAAACTCCCACTCAGGAGACCAGGGCTCACGCACACGTACACTCTAACTACCAAGCTCAGAAATTTTTTTTTAAATTAATTCGGACAAGGCCTAAGGCTGTGAAACTGCTCAACTGGAATAATGAGGATGCACCAAAGAAGACACAAATACTATCATCCATATATACACCTCAACCTGTTCTTCCATCAGATTCACATGACGCAAGCTAAACTAACACACTTTGCAAGAGTAACATGTATGAACTCCTTTAACACTAAACTAGCTTTACACTACTTTAACACGATTAAAGGTAACCCCTTCAACCAATTCCATCCGTTTCTATACAGTCTCAAATTCTGACCATAATTCCTTTATGAAAACACTCTCCGTGTTACAGTAACATCCCTGAATAACATCTGTTGCACATTTGTTCCATCTGACACGTGAGACGTACAGAAAAGGTAGGGACGAGGAAACAAGAGCAAGAGATGAGATGCTGCGATCAATCACAGCTCTGAGGTTTTCTTACGTACTCTCAGGGCAGATCCCAAGCAGTACTCTGCATTCTCCATCCTAATTGCCCCAGTGGTGAAAGAGCCACAGCTCTAGTCTCCAAAGACTAACTGCTATGTTTTGATAGGAGCACTGTCTCCATTAACACATCTTAAGCCTTGTGGGAACAAGACAGGAGAATGCTAACATTTTAATGGCACGGGTGCATTACAAGTCTGGTTTACACTTGGGACCATTGGTTAAAAGGTGACTTTTTTTTCCTTATGGTTAAACACGGTGCACTAGCAAAAGCTCTCTGTGGCTACTAATAAAAAAAGTTACTAGCATAACTTACTTTGCTCAATGATGGGTGTTTTGTTTGGATTTTTTTTTAATACACTATCATTGCAAAAGGAAAATTTTTTACCAGTCTCTGGCAAGAAATCCTATGGTACAATTACAACAGCAAACAGTATTAAGTGATAGAAGTCCACAGATTTCCATCAGCAAACTTTGTAAACAGATATACATCTATTTGTAAACAGATACACATCTATTTACAAAGTTGCACAAAATCTGAAACTTGAAAGTCCAAAGGAAAAAAAGGAAGCAATAAATATTGTATAATTTATCACCTTGCCTATATATTTATAATTAGATGATGGTCACACTTATGCTTCTTTTCAAAGCAATAACTAAGTTCTTGCATTTCTGAATTTTCACATCACATTTCCTTCTCTCTTCAAGAACAGATTTCAAAACATGGAAAGCAGATAAAATTTTATTAAAACTAAAAACATGACAGAAGAGTCCACATCAAAAACTCTTAATACATGTGATGGTACAAAGAAGTGAATGGATAATTGGAGCAAGAACAGAAACACATTAAAAACTTTTCTACAGGATGAAAAGATGGGGGTCACAAGCAAGTAACTGCTGGAATAGGCGAGACAAATATAAACTTCAGCGAGTTTGCCAAGTGTTCAGGAAGAAGCAGCCAGTGCCACCACAGAACGGTCTGTAAAACATGCAAAGCCAGAAGTTTCAAAAAATATGACAAACACAAACAAAGCAAAGCCCAACAAAACCGAGGACACGAGTACCAGGAGAAGTAACAGTGGCGACAGTCATGAAGATGCAAATGAGCGCCTGCAGCCCTGCACATAGAAAAAGCTGTCGAATTTCGAGTCGTTCACAGCACTTTCCCTTCAAAGGCCATTAGTCAGCGAGTCCTTACTCCAAGCAAGGGCCGCGCACCTCTGTCCCCCGCTGGCACTACGCCTTCCAAGAACAGCTCGCAGTAAGCTTCCCGTGAGACAGGGACGCCCCCAGGAGCCACCGGGCGCGGCAGGCACAGCGACCACACTTTCGCCCCTACGGGTACTTTTGTACTCTCGCTGGCAGGACAGGGCAGGGGCCACCTCTCTCCCGAGACACCCGGGC